CACATCGCCTTTACTCGGGTTAAACACCGCGTGTATTAGGGCTGTAACAATACGGTAAAAAGCGTATTGCAATATATTGCAATACGCCACATCCGTATTGCAATATATTGCAATACGTATTGTTATTTATCTTAGGTACTGGGGAAAAGAGACTTGTATGTTATTTCAACAAACATTATATATATCTATGTCTCTTGCAAAACAGAATTATTGGATATTTTCCTTTAACAATTTTTTAACTGTTTCAACTATGGAAGCATCAACTGTTAGTAACTTAACAGAAATATAAGTTTTTAAACACTTTTCATTAAGTAACTAACAATCTAAACTATATCCTAATGATTTTCTTAATACAGTTTCAGACTCGGAATAGATCACAGGGATTGAGTGACGGTGGCAATTTATCTGCGTTTTTCTTTAGAAAAATTAACATGTCTACTTTGTCAGCATCTAGTATTCAATAATGTCATGGGTCTCTCTTGTCCTAGCAATTAAATTTTTATATCAGATCGTAATTATTTCCGTCTGCCATAGTAAATCACCGATTTATTCAAGCATTTGTCTACCTGTGCACCGTGTAATTTTTTTACCCGAACACCGTTTTTTTTACACGTTTCCTACTTTCAGTTTGTTATATTTTTTTGTGTATAGGACATTTTCATAATATTTATCAAGAAAATTTAGGAAGACTTTCTTTTATTTATAGAAAAAATTATGAAACGCTGATATTACTAAATAAAACCGGTGCAACTAAATGTGAACCGCGGTACAATATTTATTTATCCTGCACCGCAATATATCGGTGTACCGGTAAACCGTTACAGCCCTAGCGTGTATATCAATTAGGGAAGATTTGCACGTGTTTAGATGATGGGGAAAAAAACAATCTATAATTATCGCCTAATCCCGTATTAAACACACAATTATACACGTTTCGGGCCGATGCCTTCATTATTTACTGATTAGAGTAGGTGGTCTATCACTTTGCTGGTAGTATAAAGCGACGCTCTGATTGGATAATGATAATTAGCAGTCGTCATATGGGCGGATACAATCTCTGCTCTTTACACACCAAGTAATTACTCTTTGGGAATTAAGATTTTATCGGCGATGTTGACTTCTCTTTGATCAATTGGGAGAGCGAAATGGAAATATACACGGCAAAGTTTTCGCCTGAATCGCCCTTCCAGATGAGCCCTGTGATATTTGTTGTGCAAGTGCAATTTTTCCAAATAAGAGTCACGAATCGACGAGAGAAAAGCATACATTTCATTTGGATTTGAAAGGCGTTTTGAGGTCCACTCCCCAAAGTGTCTGTGGCACTGACTTAACGCAATTAGTCTGACATGACATCAGTGCTGCTGCATTTAAAATGTGTTTGACTGAAAAATGGTTAGTTTGTTACAGATAAACCAATTCAATTCTATTTTATCTTTATTATGCTAGTTTAATTTAAAAGATTGGTTTCTTATAGTCCAAATATTTAGACGTAACCGCGGATTTGAAGCTATTTTTTACATGGGTCAAATCCGCTTTAACGTCTAAAGATTTCTATTTAAAAATCCATAGCAAAATGAAAAACAATAAACATGCACAATCATTCAAACTTCTGATGTAAAATGTTACAAATAATCATAATCCTACCACAAATGTGTATTTTCCTTATCAAAATAAACTTATTCAAATCTTAAACAATTTAAAACAAATCCCATGTTAAAATTGTGTAAACAACCTCCATATTGTGTGTACTACGCAATGCGGTGATTACTGGAACAATATTTTTTAGACGAAATTTTTTGTAAGCGTCTAAAATCACAACAGAATTTTTTTTCGTTCAGACTAATTTCGTACTATTCAGTGTCTATTTTAGGAATTCAAAAATAGAAGTGATTTTCCCCCCTCTATTTCAAAAAAGGGGGTGATTTTCAAAATCAAGGGGTGCCAATATAAACTGCCAATGTTAAATCGTCTGCATTAAGTTTACACTGAGGCATTCAACCGATGAAATATTTAAAACGAAAATATTCAATTAAGGCAGCAGAAGTTGTCCTCCCTTAATTTATGAACGAAAACAAATTATTATAGAACTGTCGTGATTGATTATCAAGGGATTGACAATACAAACAATCGACCTATCTTTTACGTCTAGATCGTAGCCAAGCTAGAATTTCTTGATTATTTACTACACTAAAATGGCGCCCAACTGTCAGACCTAGCACACTAGTTCCGGTAGGTACGAAACATTCCGTTTATTTCCGTCAACTCACGTAACCAGTACCATAAGGTACTAAATTATTATAATTAGCTTACAGTTACCTCCCTTCAGTTTCCAGTGTAAATGTAAACAAAACAACCAAATAAAATTTGATATGGAATTATGCTTGCAAGGGATCACTTTATTTCCAGAATTTTTTACGATTTTATTAACTTTTTTTAGATGCGCGATTTTCACTCACATGATTTTGAATTGTGCGCAATCTTTGAAATATTAGCGTGAATCGCGCAATCACGCGTCCTAGAATAGACACTGACTATTGTTTTTTGAGTGACGTCACAGCATGACCGGGAATTTCCAACATGGGGGTCACCGCAAACTGTCTTTCATGTGTCTTCTTAAATACATGGATAAATAAACTACTTATCGTGAGTAATTATTGCATATTTTTATAGGTTTTGGGAAAATATGCTTCCGTCTTTTATGCAATCAATTGCTTTTTGTGATAAAAAACATTTAAGTTGTGATTTATCGGTAAATTCAAATCGACTCGAGAAGCGTTGATTTGTCCAATATGGGGGTCACCGCAAACTGTCTTTCATGTGTCTTCTTAAATACATGGATAAATAAACTACTTATCGTGAGTAATTATTGCATATTTTTACAGTTTTTGGGAAAATATGCTTCCGTCTTTTATGCAATCAATTGCTTTTTGTGATAAAAAACATTTAAGTTGTGATTTATCGGTAAATTCAAATCGACTCGAGAAGCGTTGATTTGTGCTATGGGAAATTAGCCAGTTATGTAAAGACTTCGCATTTTCCGATAAACGTCAAAATGTAAAAAAAAAGAAAATGCGATGTCTTTCAATGGGCTTACAGACACTTCACCTCCCAGACACTTCACCCTAGGCCCGTTTTTGCAGACACTTCACCCCTCAGACAGTTCACCCCTTATTTTAAGAAATTTGATTAAGACACTTCACCCCTCATTTTTTTTATTTTGTGTTTAACAATTATTTATGTAGATAATGTTAAATACATTCAATAGTGATTGAGTATGTTTATTGTTTTAACCCATTGTCTAGACTAATAAATTTTGAGTTGATTTAATTGGTACTTAACTTTGTTTTCAGTTTGATCCTTACCATATAATAATCATTGAGTTATGTGCATTTGGTAATGGTTTGTGCTTTAACCTGGTGCTTAATTTACATAGCTGGTGCTATTTATTTGTTTAATAAATGACATTATGAATGATCTTTGTATTAAATGCAGGATAATTGTGTCTGATAATGATGATAAATAATTTATATTTACTATATTTTATAAAGCAACCGATTCATTCATTCATATTCATTTATATTCATTTAAATTCGTTGTATTTATTTATATAATTTATGTACAACATGTATTTAGAATAAATTTAATTTTCATACAACTATACCATTTTAATTCAATTATCTAATCAATTGTGAGATAACCGTTGAATAAACAACTTATCAACATGTTGAATAAACAAGGTGACATGCAATAAACACTTAATGGATGAAAGTGCTGTGATATATCATTTGGCAATACAACCAATTAACCTAAATGAGCTTTAAACTTAGTAAAAATAAAGGTAATAAGCAAAATTTTTAATCAAATAATACTGAAAATAATAAATATAAACATATGTAGCCTGGAACCCCGTTGTATCGATCTATTTACCCATAAATCACAACTGCGGTTAAAAAATTTAAATTTCCCTGAATCTTTATTTTGTATCATTTATTTTGATTCTTTTGTCATAAATATTACATGGCAAACATCACTGATTTATAGTTTTAGCTTTGGAATATACGGTTATTTACAGACATGTCAAACCTGTTGAAGAATTAGGTCACGCCATTATATCGATGCATTGTGAGAATCGCTCATTTAGTCAAAGTTTTGGAAGTCTGACCCATCTTTATGCTAGATTTTTCAGTCAATTAGAATCAAAGATGTTTGTTTTAAAATGTCAGCATAAATTTAGGAACTTACAAAAGACAGTAAATGTATTTTTAATAGGAACATACCATTTATAAGTCTATTTATTTAAATTTTTATCTACAAAGTCTGACGGTACTGGAAACATGTTTTTGACCATTTTAACGGCACACAACAAATGCGAAAGATTTTCATGACACTGTTGTAAATGTTAGCAATCAGTAGCTAGTGCATTTTGCAAAAAAATCGAAAGATTTGTAAATAGATCGATACAATGAATAGCACGTTACAATGGGGTTCCACTATAACTAGTATAAGCATTTTGTTGTTGACCAATTTGTTTTATTTACTTTATAGAAACAAATTAAATGAGGGGTGAAACGTCTTACTTATTTTGGGGGGTGAAGTGTCTTAAGGGGTGAAGTGTCTTCAAAATTTGAGGGGTGAAGTGTCTGGGGGGTGAGGTGTCTTGCTACCTTTCAATGAAGGACTAGGTTTCTTAGTGTTATTCTGAATTTTGTTGTTGTTTTTGATAATAAGGCTAAAGCATGTACAAAAACAGGAGTGTACCGTGTTGAAGGGGGACAAAAGCCCCAATTAGCTGTTAAAATCATCATCAATTGATCATAAATAGTGATAAATTGTACAATCATGTCATGAACTGATGAACTGTTTAAGATTTCGCTGTCTCGGAAGAATCTGTTAAGTGATCTTCCATCAAAACATCAACTGCATTTTCATACATTTTAAATAAATTCATTATGTCTATTTGCATGTAACATCGTGAACAGGATAATACGAAATTCACTTACAGTATAAATAATTACAGGATCTAGGCTTAATATTTATCCGAGCGTCCGAGTTGCCACTGCGTTTGACAGTGGTCACGTGACAAAATCATTTCCGTTTCACCTTTTAATAAAAACCTAAACCATACCATTTTCTTGATTTATATAAAAGTTAAGGTTGAACACCACAAATTTATAGCCCTATAAATTTAAAAAGTATAATCTACATCTACATGACTCAATTCAACAACCGAATTTATATGACTGGATCGCGCTAATAATTGGGAAACAGATCTTTTTTAGTGAATTATTTTCCAATAGAAAAATAAAATGTTCAGCATGCACAGTTATTGGTTGGAGAGATAACTCCGTCACTAAATCACTATTTTTTCTAAATATCTTTTTTTATTTTTGTGTATATGTAGAGTATCCTGTACGAAATGTTACGCCCGGAATTGGGGCGGAATTTCGGCACGGATTACGCCCAGAAAGTTAAAATTCCTTTAAAATTTTTTGTATATGATAAGGGTTCATTTTACGGGCGGATTCTGGGCGGAAATGGCACGGAATTTGGCACGAAATATGTAAATGAGCAGGAAAAAATTCCGTGCGGAATTTTGAACGGAATTTTAGGCACGGAACTCTTGGCACGGATTCTGGGTGGAAATGGCACGGAATTTGGCACGAAATATGTAAATGAGCAGGAAAAATGTCCGTGCGGAAAACTGGCACGGAATCTGGGCACGGAATCTTAGCACGGAATTTTGGCACGGAATTTTGGCATGGAATAATCAGAGCAAAATTCAATAAACAGTTGTTTTTTTATTATATTTAATTTAATTAATGATGACCATTTTGTCATGTACTTTGGACCATTGATAATTAAATAACTGGCTAAACAATTGTATTTAGACTATCTTAATTAAAGATATGCATCTAAAATTATAGTTTATATGTAATAATTAATTCAATATTCATGTAGTAAACTTCTCTATAAGCTTATGAGTAAACATACATGTATGTTTATATGATTATTCTCTTAAAATCACATCTAATTGTATTTCAATAATCCAAGTTAAGATATGAAAATTATCACAGTTTGTTTTTCTTCACAAATAAAAGATATCCTTTTTGTCTAGATACAGAATACATCCTACATTAACTTCAAGTGTCACAAACAGCTTTTTTATTGTGCAAGTATCTGTACATGACTTTTGTAGGTACTGCTGCTTTCTTTGATCACCTTGATTTCAACTATTATGTTGTCTGTCACAAACCAAAACTTTCTTTCAAACTGATTATCAAAACCACAATTTTTCCTCATTATGTCAGCTAACGTCCTGTGCAAATGTTTCCTAGTGGCACATCTTGTAGTTGCGTTCACCTTTAAGGACAAAAATTACAATTGATTTAAAAAGAATGGAAACAAATTCTGTTCTATGGTAAAATACAATTGTGTTCCATTATAATATTTCATCTGGGGTGTTAAAACACTGTACTCAAGCAAATGCAGTTTCAAAAATACTATAGCAACATCATTTCACAGTAAGCAAATGATGTAAAAAATTGCCCATTATGAGTACTTTAGTAATTACACTTTTGATGTCAAAATTGATAATCTTTACATTATCTGGGAAACAATTGTACTCTAAAAATGGTTTGTTCAGATATTTAAAAATACATGTAATTACCTTTTCAGACTCCAAGGTAGTGAAATATTGCTGATACTATAAACACTAAGTTGGCAAATTTTCACAGTCTGCAATGGCCCAGTCTGCAATTATATATTCTCATAATTTAAATTGTATGTATATTATAACATGTGAGATCTTATAGAAATTTAGCACTGTAAAACATAAGCTCAGAGGCCAGTCTATGGACCATGACCTTTAAACAAATAATTTTGGTAATACATCTAGATTTAATAATCAGATAATTATTCACAGCATGTAAATGTAGTTTGAATAATAGTTTTATCAACATTACTTTATAATTATCAACCTTATTTTATAGAAACAATTTTTGCTTACTGCCACAATATATTTTGATTGTTTATAATAACCTTTTTTTGCATAAATGTATCTAAAAGTTGTTTACCTGAAACTTTTTACTATGATTCTTTTGTATAATCTTCCTCCCTCAGTTCACTCTTAGTTCATTTACAACAACCAAACATTTCCACAATCTTGTCAAATTTAGATAAATGTTTTCTTTGAAAATTCCAAAATATGTACACAACATTCAAAAACAAGATGTAATCTCCAAAATTTTGCAAGATCCTTTGTGGTGGCATTCAATAAGCAGCTGACCCATATATCTGAGATTTCAAATTGTTCAACAGTTGAACTGGATGGACAGGTCCATCATTATGTGAAACAGGGATTATCCAAAAATATCAAAACAGTCCCACCATCTTATTTTTACATTTATTGAGTGTAAAAACATATCAAATGATAAGTAAATGTAGAATTTGAAAATCATAATAAGTTTTTGAAAGAGAATCAAAGTGTCAATTACCTTCTTAACTGATTGTTTTGAAATGTATACTGCTCAGATTACCTTAATAATCACATGGAACAGTCTGGTCAGTATACCAGAATGCCCCATCAGGAGATTAGTCATGCATCAGATAGAGGGAAACACAAGTATTTATCATTAGTCTTATCTGATCTTAACCTTAGTGTCTGTAGTATTTATTTATCCTGACTTGTAAGAAATTATCAAGCACACAGTGGTTATTATATTTAACACATTAATTGTGCATGTATATAATGGGCAATAATGATTATATATGTGTTTATTGTACACAATCATAAACTAAATGGCAATAATTGATATACTAGTATATGTGTTTATTGTAACATAATAAAATAAGTGGCAGAGTAAAGTGTAAATAATCTAGATGTATGTCTACAAATTTCCAAACAAACTTGCTAGATTATGTACTATATGGCATTTAAAACATAAATTAAAGTTTAAAATATCATTCTTAAATTATGTAACAATTAATTGCTTTAATGCTACCAAGAAATTAAAAATCTAAAGATACACACTGCAGGGAAGAATACTCATGTATTTAGATATGTAGTAATTTAATTAAATAGCATACAATTTACATTTTACTTCAGTATCTTTAGTAATGTTGAATAAGCTATGTGATATAGAAAATTAAATAAAATTTTGCATTAGATTTTAGCTCTTTTGAAAATTAATAATGTTTGACAAAATCTGTTTAAATAACAGATATAAATAACACTTCGATTATTTCACCAATTTTCTTTTAATTGTTGAATTTCCATTCTTGTGTACTGATTTAATGAAGTATTCAGTGAAAATTTCCAAACAAAAAATTCTAAGTGTAAAAAAATTCCACCTCAAATGACTAAGATTGAAATTTGGCCCAACAGAAAAATCAAAGTTCTGAATTCCGCCCCATTCCATCTCAAGAAAAAGTTAAGTTTGAAATTCCATCCAAGATAAAATGTACAAGTACAAAATTCCGCCCGTAATAAAATTCCGCCCGGAACAGTTCTTGTTTTACGCCCAGAAATGTTTTCTGTGTGGGGCGGACTGACACGGAATTTGCTTTTCCGTGCTTAGTCCGCCCAGAAAGCAATGATTCCATCCCAATTCCGTGCCATTTACGCCCAGAATCCGTGCCAAAATTTCGTACAGGATGGTTTGGAATGAATATACGACCAACTCTGACTGGGTGTTCAATATTTATTTTGATTATCTACATCTACATCTACATGTTACTCCCGAACAATCAATTCTGACTATGACTGGGAGGCGCTTGTCAGGATGAAACCTATAAAATGAATAAACAATTATAAATACACGAAATACAAAACACAAATTAAAATGCAAATTCAATATCAATATCATTTCAACATTTCATATTTCAAACAATTCCAAGTATTTAATTCATCCATTTAAATACATTTCTTTACATTTATTTTAAGTAATTTAAAGTTAAACATATCTTACCAGGTGCAACTGGCTGACCTCTGTTATATAAAATTATAAATACCAAATCCGTTCGATAAAGAACAAACGTAAAGTTGATTTATATAAATACGTACAATATTCAAAATGTTCTATGAAGAACTACTGAAGTTCACCTTACAATGCAAAGTATGAAAATGATTTCTTAGAAAAGGAATGTAAATAGCCCATGCATAAAATGATATGAAATCACTCTCATCCAATCACATTCTTACTTAACAAATATACAAGATATTTATTGGACATCACTTAACAACACAGGACATAACAAGGACATAACAAGAGACAGTTCACTGAGCCTAGTAACTCACAACAAGAACAAGACATTACCCATAATTCTTATAATGATGAATGAAAATGATGTCATGTAATTATGCCTGAATGAATGAAAATGTACAGTTAGTTATTCACTACAGTGATTACAACTGTATTTGTAAATATAGGATGAGTAAATAGATAGGCAGTATATTGACCTTATCTACATATATTTTAAATTTTTACCCACCTAAACAAAGTTAGGTTCAAACATTTATAATCATGTGCACATTTCCTTTCTTGAAATGGAAACTGGTACTTCCTTAAGGTTTTGAATAAGGTATCCGAAACATGGTCTTTTTAACCCTGACAGTAGATAAAGTCGGCACTTTAATTTTAAAGTAAATACTAGCTTGAAAATTAGAATAAGTCATTTATTTTAACATTTTATACGCTTTATCTATGCCTTATTGAAAATTAAACAAATTTTTAAAGAAATTTTCCCAAATCACTACCTGTGTTCAAGACAATTCTTAACTATCGTCTGGAAGTTAAGTAAAAAGAACGTTTTGTGGCTGTTTTTTGTAACAAAAAATTGTGGTCAAGATAAACACATTTAAAAGTTTACCAAATTTAAAAATCTCATCACAGTCTGTCCTTCTCCTTTATTACTAGGTGACCATGTGCTTGTTTGTTGACAAGAAAAGATAAATAAAAAAATTAAACCAAGTGTCGGGTTTATCTTTGTGTCGGAGTTATCTCTTCAACCAGTACAAGTTTATGTATTCCAAATCTTAATTAATAAGCCGCTTTTTAAAACATGTTTTCTTTCATCT